TCACTGTTAATTGAACCCAGCTCAGGACATACTCTCAGTACTGAACAGCTGGAATTCTAGAAAATAGTTTATGTGCAGTGCTACAAAATTTCTGGAACCACGGAAATGTCACATCTGAGATGCTTGACTGAGAAAGCACCAGAGACTTGACTGAGAATTTCACCCCAGTGAAAGGTGATAATCTGAATATCTGCAGGCTCTTTACCGTTTATAAGCTGTTGCTGCTACCTGCGTAAAACCAACTTCTTCAAAGTCAAATCCTCTGCCTGGAAAGACAGCTAAATATAAGCAGCCATAAGGCATTAATGCTGCTTCAGTGTGCTCATCCACTACCTTTCAGCCAGCATAATGGATAATACAATTTGTAACCATGGTGCCAATTCTGTGATTATTCAATAACTCCTTGTTCCATTAAATACTCAGGCCTAGCATCAGCTGAGACAAGACAAAACATAGATAGATAAATAGACAGATAGACAGATAGAGATAGGTATAGATACAGATAAAGATATAAATGTAGACGTATATTTATAAATACAGAGATATAGTCTACACAGACAGAGACACAGACAGAGACAGACACAGAGATAGATCTAAAGATAGAGCTATTCAATCAAGACAGAGGTGACAGAGATACAGGTATAGACATACAGACACAGAGGTATAGATATAGATATAGAGCTACATATAGATGATATAGCTATAGCTATACAGACAGATACAAAGACATAGATATATACATACAGATAGATATATACAGATATAGAGAGATATAGATATATAGAGATAGAGATGATATAGATGATATAGATGATATAGATATAGCTATCTATAGCTATAGCTATAGATGATATAGCTAGATATAGAAAGATATACATAGATATAGATGATATAGAGATACAGATAGATATAGTCTGTTCTATTTTTTCTGTTATTATAGTTAATCAATAATCCTTCAAAGTAATTGCAAAGCTTAGCGCACCAGCCAAACGTTTCTATTAGGCTGCTCTGATACATAAATGTTGTTTACAAATAATGACTCTGCAGGTCAACAGATTCTGTTATAAGCCAGCTGTTTCACACTTCACAACAAAAATATTTTCTGGCTATTTTCTCTAAGTCTAAACATAGCTATATGCTGTCCAGTTACCAGATTCAGAACACAGATTTAAAAGTGCTCTTCCAGAGATTCATATCTAATCAGAATAGGTGGTGTTTGTTCTCCTAAACTTTTCCTTAATGTTTAATTGTCCAATTATTTCCCAGAAAACATAATTTTAGTACACTTTCCTCAAGAACCCAGGCACTTACAGCAGCTCAACTGAAGCCTTATTTTTTGTTATTTTAGCAGGCAGAGAGGGCATCTGGCAGTCTTTCAGCCTGAAATGTTCTGCAGAGGCGTCTGATGAAAAACGAAATAGAGGCATTCTTTGAGCATGCTTTTATGAAATCTGGCTAAAAAGAAAAGGGAAAGACCTATTTTGTCATGCAGAATTTCTAAATGCTATCCCCTTTTCATTCCTGTCTTGTGTCTTATGTGCCAGATGAACTGCGCAGGGAAGAAGAGTGGCACATACAGGAGACCATGTTACAACACCTAGATCTCAGTGTACTTTAAAGAACACATTTTTGAGCCTTCAGGAATCTCGAAGCAAGTGAAATCTCAGTGTATAAACACACAGAAGTTATTAAGTGAAAATACATTAACTGAACAGAACATAGAGGTAAAGGAGTATGATACAGACTGCTGTACTTCTAGCATTGACAGATCACAGGTAACCAACCTTGTTTACAAACACGTACCTTAAATGACACACAGCTGAATACCAGAATGACCTTCACAGCCTGAAACAGTTCTGCAGCTGTTCAACAGGTTCCAGTAACAACATGATACAATATACGCTGGATTCAAGGTCATTCTTGCTATTTAATACAGTGCAAAGTTCTTTCTGGAAGACTTTATCTCAATGGTTTCTGCTTTCCAAAAGTAGCAGCTATCTTCCTTTTGAAAGCACATGCAGGTAAGATACCTGGGGATTCTGCATTAACATTTTCTTTAGTCCCAGATGCACTACACAGAATTGTTTTTTTAAGTCCAAAGGTGACACAGGCTGTCATGTTTGAGGGCTCACACCAGTGTAACTGAAGGGATTAGGAAGAAACTTCTCTGTTGAATACTCTTCAGAGCATCCTGTATCTGCCACTGAAGCATCTGACATTCACCTTTCACAAAAAATACAGATGACAGATTTGGTGGACAGCAGTGTGGCACCTTCAGCACTTCATCCCTGTATTTGATGGGAGATAAACCTTTAAGGACTTTTGAGGTATCTTCCAGATAGACAGGTGACTAGGTCATCATGAGGAAGGGATAGAAGTACATTTGTCTTTCAATGATAAGGAGCCAGCAGATGCAGGAGACTGTAAGTGACGCAAAAGGGCTTCAAAATGCACCAACTGCTATTTGGTGTACCAGTCCAACCCAAGTGGAGATGGTACAAGGAAGTCAGGCAAAATAATGAAATTATTTGAAGATCACTGTATTCTTAAGGGATAAAGAAAGGTAAACCTGTGAAAACATTCTTTTTCTTGCTATAATGCAAAAAGAGAGGGACAAAATAGGAAATATTAAAAATGAACATACAAAACTTTTTTATTATTATTAAAGCCCAGTAAAACCCAACGATTATGGATTACAGAAATCAAAAGATCTGTGAAAAATCACACACAGAAAGGACTTAGAAAGGGAATAGTCATATATTAGACTACCCAAAGTACACATTGTGAACATTACATTCAAATACATTTTGTCTGGGAAGCTAGGGACCAGATGAGGAAAGCTAAGTCCCAGTTAGAATTAAACTTGGCTAGGGATGTGAAAGATAACAGGAAAGGACAATGTGAGCCCACTCTGGAAGCTATCAGGAGAACTGGCTACACAGGATTTGGAGAAGGCTGAGGTTCTGAATGACTTATTTGTCTCAGTCTTCACTGGAAAAGGCTCTGACCAAACCACCCAAGTCTTGGAAGGCAGATACAGGGACTGTGAGAATGAAGACCTTACACCCACTGTAGGAGAGGAACTGGTTCGAGACCATCCTAAAAATCTGAATGTGCACAAGTCCATGGGACCTGATGAAATCCATCCGTGGGTCCTGAAGGAGTTGGGGAATGAAGTTGCTAAGCCACTGGCCATCATATTTGAGAGATCATGGCAGTCAGGTGAAGTTCCCGATGACTGGAAAAAGGGAAATAGAACCCCCATTTTCAAGAAGGGGAAAATGGATGACCCGGGGAATTACAGACCAGTCAGTCTCACCTCTGTGCCTGGCAAAATCTTGGAGCAGATTCTCCTGGAAGGCATGCTAAGGCACATGAAAATCAACAAGGTGCTTGGTGACAGCCAGCCTGGCTTCACTAAGGGGAAGTCCTGCCTGACCAATTTGGTGGCCTTCTGTGATGGGGCTACAGAACTGATGGACAGGGGTAGAGCAGTTGACGTCATCTACCTGGACACGTGTAAAGTGTTCAACACCGTCTCACATGACATCCTTGTCTCTAAATTGGAGAGACATCAATTTGATGGATGGAGCACTCGGTGGATAAAGAACTGGCTGGATGGCCACACACAAAGAGTTGTGGTCAATGGCTCAATGTCCGGCTGGAGACCAGTAACGAGTGGTGTCCCTCAGGGATTGATGTTGGGACCAGTCTTGTTCAACATCTTTGTCACTGACATGGACAGTGGGATTGAGTGCGCCCTCAGCAAGTTTGCCGATGACACCAAGCTGTGTGGTTCGGTTGATACGCTGGAGGGAAGGAATGCCATCCAGAGGGACCTTGACACGCTTGTGAGGTGGGCTGATGCCAACCTCATGAAGCTTAACCATGCCAAGTGCAAGGTCCTACACCTGGGTCAGAGCAATCCCAGGCACAGCTACAGGTTGGGCAGAGAAGAGATTCAGAGCAGCCCTGAGGAGAAAGACTTGGGGGTGTTGGTTGATGATAAAATGAACATGAGCCGGCTTCAGTGTGCGCTTGCAGCCCAGAAAGCCAACTGTATCCTGGGATGCATCAAAAGGATTGTGACCAGCAGGTCAAAGGAGGTGATCCTGCCCCTCTACCCTGCTCTCCTGAGACCTCACTTGGAGTATTGTGTGCAGTTCTGGTGTCCTCAACATAAAAAGGACATGGAACTGTTGGAACAAGTCCAGAGAAGGGCCATGAGGATGATCAGGGGACTGGAGCCCCTCCCGTATGAAGACAGGCTGAGGAAGTTGGGGCTGTTCAGCCTGGAGAAGAGAAGGCTGTGTGGAGACCTCATAGCAGCCTTCCAGTATCTGAAGGGGGCCTATAGGGATGTTGGGGATGGACTCTTCATTAGGGACTGTAGTGATGGTACAAGGGGTAACAGGTTCAAACTTAGGGAAAGTACAGACTGGATGTAAGGAAGGAGTTCTTTACTGTGAGGGTGGTGAGGCACTGGAATGGGTTGCCCAGGGAGGTTGTGAATGCTCCATCCCTGGCGGAGTTCAAGGCCAGGTTGGACAGAACCTTGGGTGACGTGGTTTAGCGTGAGGTGTCCCTGTCCATGGCAGGGGTGTTGGAACTAGGTGATCTTAAGGTCTTTTCCAACCCTAACTATTCTATGATTCTATGAAATCAGTCAGAACATATTTACAGAAATAGAGATACTATATAGACGATTTTTAAAGCTAAGACTGTCTCAGTAAAGCTAATCATTTTACCTAAGGAAGAACTTAAGGACAACACATAGGACATAGCAATAAGCTCTGCTAAAACAGAAAATGTGACAGGACAGCAAAACCAACATTCTGTGTTTACCATATACTGTAAAAGACTGATGGCACCCAAAGAGTCTCAAGCAAGTCTTATCAAAATATATGACACCAGCTCTATGTGCTCAATTAAGGGAAGTGTAGGATGTGGAACACAAAAGGCAATGTTGACACACGGTGAACAAAACCTTGAAGTACAAGTCATGTAAGACGCACAAAAGACAAATATGGTGAAACCAACACTTCTTCAAAATGATGAGCTGAATCAGTATCCATAAAGGCAGAAGAATACTGAAAATAAAATGCACAAATTTTGAAATTACAGACAATAGAGCAAATACTTTACATCTCATGAAGAACAGAGAATTCTATAGGGCTATGACATGACTGCATTACTTCCAATATTGTAGTTACATTTTGGCAACAGTAATATCTCAAGAGATTCCCATTTCAATTGTTTCTGCATTTTAAATCCACATGTGCATGGAATAATTGAGAACTAAATTAATGCAGCACCAGGAAATAAGTCAAGGCCAAGTAATGCCTGCATTTGACTATAGCTTATTAACTTTATCTTAACCATCCAATGCTATGTACCTGCAATCAAACGGCTCATTACACTGGCATGCCCATATGTCAGAGAGCTAACACCAGGAAAGCAAAAGAATGTTTGCCATGGATGATGAAACAGCTGAATACAATTTATGTATAAAAAGAGATCATTCACAATAATCATTTCAGAAGTTGTGTTGTGCTGTTTTAAATAATTCCTATTTTACTGCTGAGGAGGGAGTTGACTACATCCATTACCTTCACTGTATCTTCACAGCTTCCACTTCCAAGCCACCATCATCCCAATTTTCCATGAAGATCCACGGCTGTGCAAAAATCCCTTGTGAGCCCTAGAAAAGTAAGCTGTAATTCCACAGTCTGAGCACTAAGCTTTTTCTGTCCACAGGCATTAGAGGTGTGATTAGCCTGAGTGCTGGATCCAGAAACTATCTCTCCACACCCTTTCCTCCCTAATTTCTTTTTGCAGAATTAAAATGAATATCTATTTCATTTAGTAGTAGCATTTTGACTGAGATTAGGTTTCGATATCACAGTCATTATGGTCTAAAACTACATAGTGTGAAAATGCACTCTATGCCTCCAATAGGTTGTAGTGTAAACAGACAAATAAGTATATGACTGTAAAATGGCCTTTCATGTAATTACAAAAAATGTGAATGGCAAAAATATGATTGTATAGCACATGACGTGTCTTGTACTTGTGCCACATTCCATGCCCCCCATTTTTTGCCTAATCACAAGCAGAAGACATCTAGCATTATTACTATTACTAAGGAATGCCTCCTTGCAGATAGAACCATGGAAAATGCTCATCTCAGCCAGCAACAGCGCAAGGGGCCTCTGGCTTCTAACTGGCACTCCCTCCTCCCCAGGAAAATGTCTTGTAGTAAAATAAATGTGTTTGTGCAGTGGTGACTATTTGTCACTGTAGACCCTGACACAGGCATTAAAGCATCTGCCATTTAGAACTGTGTCTCATAACTGCCCAACATGAGAGCTGTAATGAAATCCTACCTTACTATGTTGAACTAGAGAAGTCTGTTTAGTTAGCAAGGTTGCACCTCTCAGATACTAACAGGACCGTAACCGATATGAACACTAAAGTCCATATCCAATCAAAGGAAAACAGCAATAATTTGGAACAGCTATATAGCCAAGGTCTCTGTGAATAAGAATTTTTAAATATTCTCCTACAAAGACCATAAAAATTATACAAAGTTTCTTTTCCAGGTTTCTATCTTTCTGGCTTCCCACCGCTGGAGCATATACACCATTCACTACCTCACTTGCATTTTGAGGGGTGGTTGCTCCCACATGCTTTTAAATTCTCTGAAATGGCACACACTTACACACAAGGACTGGCATGTACAGAACACACGCTTCCTCTAGTCAGTTCCTAAATCTCCTGTGAGAGTGCATGGAGCAATGGGGATATGCAAATAGTATCATTTCCTTGGACAAGCAGATTTGAATAAGGTCAAGTAAGAGTCTAGGTAAGTAAAGGTCAGCTGATAGTCTAACAACACACATAAATGAAAATCAAGAATTAAAGATGGTCTGTGTTACCCTTGCAGACCTCTGTGAAATTCAGGTATTTTAAGGCAAGAAGAGATAACAAAGTTCAGCTAAGAGGTGCTCCTGCGTACCACAAGCCATGAAATTCTATATGCTCGCTTCCAGTAGCAGCAATTATACTTCCATGAATGTCAGTAAAGTTCTTTTGCATAAATTTCCCATACATCATTGTCAGCATAAGAAATTCTGGTCCCCTCCACTGCCCAGGCTTTCAAGAAAACTCATGGAAAATTTCTAATCTTTGCTCACCAAACATTTCTGTAATAAGATGTAGATTTGGGGATAGATACATGTTCTTTACCAGACTACCTATCTTTTGTGCACCAGCTTTCCCCTTACAGTTCCACATCTCTCGGCTACTTCAAACATCTTTAAAAAATAAAGATATCTCAATCCTTTCCATCTGTTTAAAATTTCCTTCTGAGAGATTAAGTGTCTCAACCTTCTTAGTTTTGCAGTCCTTGTCATGATATACTCTTTCAGATATACTCTTTCAGCAGCAAATCTCTAATGCAGCAACATGTTGATGTTTTCTCTAGTTCTTCCCAATGAATTGTGACTATGAACACATTAGCAGATAATACAAGTGCATCAGGAGCAGAGCTGTAGAAACTGGTGGTGCTGAAGACCCAGCATCCACTTCACATTTCAGGTTGCCTTCCAATTTAGTGTCTCCTGAACAGAACCCAGACAACACACTGACAACACCCTGTACAGAGTATTGAGAGTGCAGTAAGTGGGGCTATTCAGAGATCTGCTCCACAAGGGCGCTCCTGGCAAATTAAAATGAGAAAGTAAATGCATCCTGAGTATTTCAGTGCACCTTGCGACACTTCAGGAGGAATGGCAATTAACTCTCTAATAGCTTAAACTGGTGTCCCAACTATGCAACGTACAGGTTACAAGTGACAGCAAAACACAGGCGTTAACACACATCCCCAGACATGTCACCTACCCCTACATGAATGCACTATCAAACTCAGGTGAGAAGGTATTCCATGTGAACTCAAACTGGGAGAAAACAGGACAGGAGTAAGAGCCTAAACTTCTTCTGTGGCAAAGAGGTACTCTAAGTGGCTGCCTAGATACTATAATAAGAGAAATTAGATTAAAAATGATAGAATTTTAAAAGAAGGTGTTACTTGCCTTGGGAAAAAAATAAGTATGTGTTAGAAATATCAGTAGAAGATACCAAGTCAAATGTTAGAGGGATTTCAGAAACTTGGTGAAAACCAAGTTTGGAGAATATGAACTGTTTGAAAAAGAAATAAAGGCAGAAGAAGAGCATTGTGCATTAACAGTAAAATAAGTTGAAAGGGCAAGTTTCTGCTAAGAAAGATGCTGTTGAATGTGAGTGTTAAAGGAAAAGAAGAATGAGGATGTGAACAGAAAGATTTCGATATCTGGAGTGCAAACAGACTCCGAGAACCACACCATGCCCAAACCTGGGCTTATGCTGCTAACCTGCACTTCATCAATCTGCAAGAAGCAACGTAAGAATCATTACCTGGAAGTCAGGTATCTAAACATCTCTGAAATCAAGGGGGGCACTGTACCATAGAACAGGGCAACAACAAAGACAGGATGAAAACGTCATCTTCACCTAGGTGCCACATAGGAGGGGATACGCCTGATCCCTAGTGATTAATGATGCCGCTGCAGAGAAGTGTAAAAGAGATGCAGCTAGAAGGATCTTGATGAGAGTGAAGGAGAAAAAAAAAGGTATTTGGAGTGGTGTGCAGTGTTACGTGGGTTCTAGATGACAAAATATTTCTCTGTAATTCTGGATTGAACTTATGCATAAATCATAAGGTGTTAAGAGTGACCCGGGCATTTCCAGGCTCATTATTCAACCACAATTATCCAGAAAGGTTTATGTGGCAAAGTGCATTTGGAAGGATCAAAGTTCTGGAGATCAGCTGTGACTAATTAAAATGCTTGGATTTGGGTCATCCTGAACACTTACTGAATTTACCACTTGCTGACTTACTGAAATACCTCTTTGGTAGGATAACAGACCTTTTAACCAGTGAAATACAGTACACCTCATATTTTACTTGTGTAGATATTCTGAGAGTACATCTTTAGTAGAGTAGCACAGTATTCTGGTGGAAGCAGTCACAACTGAATAAAGAACAGGCTTCACAGATTGACAGTGAGTTTTGCTGTAAGGGGCTATCAAGCCAACTGAAGTTACAGGTTGAGTTCAGCAGTGATTCTCCTTCCAATTCTATGTCCAGTTGTTCTTATTCATGTTCTTTTACTTCCTCTTATGTCTTTGTGCTTATATCTAACATGATCTGCAATGCAAGGCATGAAGAGAAAAAAGACCAGCACCAACTTTTGACTCATCCACTTGATCCCCTTTTGTAACGGAGAACATCACCGAGGACATTCTGTTCAAATATTCTGGGGTTGTTTGCTAGCTGTGTTGTGTTCACCAAGGAATTGCAATGGGAGATGCGGTGTGAAGGCAATAGCAAAACTCAAGCTGCTTATGTGATGGGGAAACTGGCTGACTTCATCCAAATTAAAATCCAGTTGCAGTTAATAGAAGTTTTGCTCCATAAAGGCCTAATTATGCTATGTCCATGTTACTGTGAGGAACCAAACCTGTTTACTCTAGCACTAAGTGCTGGAAAGAAAGAACTTACTTGGTTTCCTGTTAAAAAACCCAGACTGCTGACAGCAGTTAAGGAGCATCTGGGTCCTAAACTTCCAGCTTCCCAACTCCTTAAGTTCAATTAAAACTCTTGAACAGACAACAACTTGGCAATGAGATTTCTCACTGAAACCAAGTTTTCATTTGTGCACTTTACCAGTAGAGTGATCTTGTTTCTGGCCTTGTTCCAAACACTACCAGAGCAATAGTGAAGAAACTAAAGATTAAAAGGAAAAAAAATTACTGTAGTAAATGTGAAAATGTTTAAAGTAATCAGATTACAATTTTTCCTTTATTATTATTATTATTACTACTACTATCACTAATGGTATGGGACAAACATCCCTGTGGGACTACAAAGCATGCAGTGCCAAGCGGTGGCTCCTCCCTGGATAGTCAGCAAATTAATTGAGAAACACAAAGGACAGGTCAACATTATACCTCTTTTTAAAGACAGAAAACTAAATCACATGGAAATGAAGTTACTGGTCAAACAGAGAGCAAGTTGCAGAACATGGAAACTGGGAAACTGTATCTTACATTCAGCTCCTTAACTTCTTTAATCTGAGAAGAAAAAACCCTCAGTGCTAGAATATTAATATCAAAAATAGTTTTGCTGAGGACAGTCTGAATTTCTCTGTCTCATCCAAAACTGGGTATTTTTCTGCCTCATTAAAGCAGAAACAAGGTGAATGTTAACAACACTGATTTGGGCAAAACAAAATCACAGCTACTCTTTGAAATGTTTGTACTCTGAAATATTGCTTTGCAATCAGTTTTGGAGAAACAGTCAAGTCAATGATCAATTCCAAAGTAGCTTTTGAGAAATAAACAAAAATGAAACAGTTCTGAAAGAACTGAAAGGATGAAGTTAGAAGCTACATTTGAGAGATATTGTGGTATTCCAGGGGCTTCATCCACTCTTCATGTATTAGAGTTTCTATGAAGCATACAGATATGTATCTGTACATACATATACATGTGTTTATACACACACAGAAATACACTTGTTTATCCACATAAATACACATACATATGCATCCATAGAGATGCACACATACGTATGCATATATACACATATATATTTACGTAAGCAGAGAGAAATTACGTGGGATTTAATGAACACAAGACAGTGGAGGGAAAGAGGCAAACAGGGCGTTTTCCCATACCCTCTCTTTCTTGATGCAAGGGAAGCCCAGACATGATGTGGCATTACAGTATACACTAACAGAGAGTGACCGTGAGCTCTGGTTTTAGTTTCAGGGGCTAGGAAGCTCTACATGCCTTGCCAGGCCCGAGGGATTAAACTGCAGTTACACCATATGCCTGGGCTTTTCTTGCCCTGACCACCATCAAGGACAGAGGCAGTCAGACTGTAACCTAGTCACCTGGAATCACTCCCATCACACCTCATGAGAGATGTGGGAAAGTTCATATTAAAAGACAAAGCCGAGGTGCAATAACCATGGGTGCTTCAGCACAGCAGCAAGGTTCTGCCTTGGCAACCTTCCCCCTGTGTGTGGACAGTGAGCTTGGCTCCTAACCTTGGGCTGGCCCGGGTGACTTGGGTCACAGGAATGGCATGTTTCAAGGTGTGGGGGAGGGGTGGTGCAATAACAGGGGCTTCTGGCTTCTTCTGAAAATATTAACCTATTTAGAGAGCGATGGCTGCCTTTGAAATCACTCCTTATAGATTTATAGTCAGCGCTGGGGCACCAAGGGTGAGTTGCGGCGTGTGCTGGGTGGGGTGGGCTGGGGGAGAGCTTCCTCTGAAGCCCCGCGCCTTTGTCTCCTGGCCATGCCCCGCGGGCTTGTCAGCAGGGACCGGGACTGCAAGGGGGCAGCCGCAGCCCCCAAGCCCCCACCTCAGGTCCCTTTGCTTGACCCCAAGCACACTCACAGGATTCCGGGGAGTGGGGACAGGAGCTGGGTTGTATTCTTCTTTTCCGATTGTTTTACCTTTTTATTTTAATTTGCCTTGCTCTACCCGTGCCCCCCCACTCGTCCTTCTAAATAGGAGATGTTCTCAGGACAGCGCCCAGGAGACTGGCTGGAATCAGTTTTGGAGGGTGATACACCGCGACAGCTAAAAGTTGGATAGGGTTTCAGCAGCTCCTATATAAAGCAGGGGGACTTATGTCACTGCACTAATTAAATTCCATCTGGGTTGTTCCTCGGGGTGTTTTTGAGCCTGCCACCCAACTCAAGCCGGCAGAGAGGCCGAGGGACAGCATGATGGACCTTTTTGAAACTGGCTCCTATTTCTTCTTCTTAGACGGGGAGAATGGAGCCCTGCAGCAGCTGGAGATGGCCGAGGGATCCCCGCTGTACCCAGGCAGCGACGGCACCTTGTCCCCCTGTCAGGACCAAATGCCGCCAGAGGCCGGCAGTGACAGCAGCGGAGAGGAGCATGTGCTGGCACCCCCGGGACTACAACCCCCTCACTTCCCCGGCCAGTGTTTGATCTGGGCTTGTAAAACTTGCAAGAGAAAGTCGGCCCCCACGGACAGACGGAAAGCAGCCACGCTGCGGGAGAGGAGGCGACTTAAGAAGATCAACGAAGCCTTCGAGGCTCTGAAAAGGCGGACTGTGGCGAATCCCAACCAGAGGCTGCCCAAGGTGGAGATCCTGAGGAGCGCCATCAGCTACATCGAGAGGCTGCAGGACCTCTTGCACAGGCTGGATCAGCAGGAGAAAATGCAAGAGATCGGGGGAGACCCTTTCAGCTTCAGCCCCAAGCAGGGAAATGTAAGCACTGCCGCCCGATTCCTTCCGCCGCCCCGGCCTCCAGCTGCCAACCCGCCGCGCCCGTCCCCACCCCTCCTCCGCCTCTGCGCGGCCCCTGCGGCTGTCGCGGGACGTGCGGGTTCCTTGGGGCCGCGAAGGGCAGCCGGCCCGGCCCGGAGAGCGGCGGGCCGCCTTGCTCATAGCCGCCCGCCTGTGTGCCGCAGGTCCCCAGTTCAGACTTCCTGAGCACCTGCACCTCCGACTGGCAAAGCGTTTCTGACCATTCCCGAGCCCTCGGAGTCAGCACCAAGGAAGGTAACTCGCACCGCGGCCCCTGCCCCTCAGTACCCCTCCGCCTCCGGGCCGTGCTCACCCGTCGCTGCCGCGCGTCTTTCCCTTTGCCCTAACGATCGTTGTTCCCAACGGCCGGTGTCTCACCTCCCGCCTGCCGTGAGCCCCGCGCCGCAGGCCCGGCGAAGACGAACGTTTTTGCTCTTTAATCCCTTTTCTCTCGTTGAGCAGGAGGCTCCGTCGTCGAGTCGTCGGCCTCCAGCAGCCTCCGCTGCCTCTCTTCCATTGTGGACAGTATTTCTTCCGACGAGCCCAAACTGCCCAGCCCTGAAGAAGTGGTGGAGAAATAAACCCGGTTACCTTGGTAGTATTTAGCGGAGATGGAGCCCCCACCCCTCCCCTCTAAACTAAGTAACGAAGCAAATTAAGGCAGTGGAAAGCCCAGGCAGTGACCTCGTTAAGGCCGAGTGAGGGTACACCTATCCCAGAGAAAAAAAATGGCTCTCCCTGACCCGAGCCAGACTTTCCCCCCTTTTACCCCCACCCTGAGTTTTGTTTTCTTTAAACGTGTTGCATAGACCATCCCACCTTTATTTCGTCTTTATTGTCTTTTTTTTTTTTTTTTTTTAATTTAAGATACTTACCTGTGTACCGGTGATCCGCTTTGTCTGAGGCTCACCGGAAAGTTCATTCCTGTCTGAGGGAAGCTGTTGGTTGCATTTCGCGTTAATCGTATTTAAAAGAGATCCCGCCTCGTTTCGTTCCTGTAAATAATTTCAGTGCTGTCTTGTTGTTTTTTTGGGGGTTTGTTTTCTTTTCTTTTTTTTTTTTTTTGTAAACCTAACAAATATTTAAATTGTGGAATGTGATATTGTATATAAGAACAGACATATTTCTTGTATTGTAAAATAAAGCTCTTTGTGTTACAGTGTTTCTCCTCCCCCCCTTCCACCTCCCGGTAATTCAGTAATAACGCGATCCCGGAGTTAAAACCCGCCACCGGCTTCAGCGACATCGAGCCCCGGGGAGTCAGACGGGTACTGCCGGGACATGACCCATCCGGCTGGACGCCTTTCTTCTCCGTTTTCGCCTCCAAGACGCGTCTCTCCTTAGCTGGGGTCCCACCGGCGGTGTTACCGACCCTCTCCCGGGGCAGCGTCCGGGCAAGGCGGGGTGCCGCAGCCCGTGCCCTCGCTGTGCTTCGCAGCGGACTCCCCCCTCCCCGGAAAAGCGTTATTGCTCACCTAAAATGCCCGGTGGTACCGCTTACTTAGCTAGGCAGGCAGGGACCTTCTGCGGCCTTGTCCTGCACATGGTGGATGAGCCTGGAAGGTGGCAGCGCAAGGACCCCCCCGGTCCTTGAGAACAGAAAGGCTCAGCGCCTCTCGCCTTTTCCTCTCGGCACTTGAAGCCAGGTCTTGTCTGCGGCAACACTGCTGGGCCCACTGCCCTAACGGGGCGGCAGAAGGCAGAGACAGGAGCCCGCTCCCTCGGGAGCTGGGGGCCGCGGTTTCTTGTCGGGCAAGGAAACTCCCCTTGGCTTCTTGAGCCTGAGGGAGAGGGGAGCGGGGTCCCTCCGGGAGGAAAGAGTTAAGCGGCCGAAAAGGGGGTTGGGGAGGGTTACAACAGATGAAGCCTTTCACTCAGTGATGTAAAACCCCCAGCCTCTCTGAGGACTGTGGAACGGAGCTGCTCGCAGCCGGAGTGTTACGGTTTGTAACAGATTGTTGATACCCCCGGGATGGGGCGACCACCGGGAAACAGCCCGCTCTGCCCTTCGCACGCACACACGGCTCCACAGAGTGCAGACAACAGCAAAGGGCAGCAGCTCCAATGCTGCCGGCGGATGCTCCCCTCCTCAGCTTTAACCCGTGGTGTATTTTTAGGGGGTTGGTTATTTAAAGGCCACAGCCACATTTCGGGAAGGTCTCCTCCCCCCTTTCCCGACCGGCTCGGGCGCGGTTGCGGTCGTCGGAGAGGGAAGCTCTGGGAAAAGGCTGCTCCGAGAGCCGGTGCCTGTACCACCGCACTGCCTCTTTCCTCCTCTCCCGTGCCGCTGCCGCCAGCCTGGGTTTTAAACCTGGGGAGTGCTCGCTCTAATTGCTCTCTTAATGAGACAGATACTCTGGTGTAAGGAGTACTTCCCCTTTTTCTCGTTCCACACACAGAACACACAGAGCCTCAGGTTGCTCTTAGCCACTTCGGAGAGAAGGTTCCTGCGTGACGTCTCTGCCTTTGGTTAAGACGTCATGGCTTGTTTCCGTAGCGAGGTGACCTCATCAGAGTATTGCTATCGCTAGCCTCAACCAAGGGGCCTGTCCGCCCGCGGCAGCGTCTCCTCCCGCAGCAGGGTAACTAGAGTGATTGGAGTAAATTTGCCTACAGGAGAAGGGATTGGGGTTTTTTCATTAAATAAAATGCCTTCCGAAGAGACTCTCCGTGACCCCCGCGCTGCGGCTGACACCCTTCCCAGCGAGGGTCCTCAGTGTGTTTGCAATTAAAATGTTTGTCTTTGATATTAATAATGGCAATCTTTACCTAAGCCCCCAGCCAAAGCAAACAGGGCCCTGGAATCACAAGATCAAAGGGTAATAACAGGGTAAGGACAAGCAGGTTGTGATTTAATCTGGGCTTTCTCCAGAGGGGCCATGCACAGAGGCATCGAGGTTTTTACACGACGGCCGCTGCCCCTTCTCTCCCCCTCCGCCGCGCTCCGGTTTATTTGACGGGAAAGACGAGGGCCGGGGCGCTGCTCCAGCAAAAACACCTAAATCTCGGCCGCCTCGCCCCCCCCGGCCCCACTCCGCACGGAGCCACCTGCCCGCTCCCGCGGGGGGCGCGGATCCGCCGGCGGGACTAGGAGGATACGGGGTGTCTGCAGTGCTGCTGCGTTGTCACCGCTCTGCTCTGAAGTGACCAGACTCTGCTTAACGCCTCTTTTTTCTTTTTATTGTGCATCTTTGTTTTCTTCCCTAACACCGGCCGCAGCCCCAGGAGGGAGGCAGGCAGCCGGCAGCCGGCTCAGCTTATTTTCCGAGGCCGAAGGCAAGCAGGCAGGCGTCTGTCCGGCAGCTATTTCCACGGGGAAAATTCCTGCTGGAATCAGTGCTGCTTTGGGGAACCAGTACGACTTTTCCAGAGCTTCCACCTTTCTGTGGGGAACGAACTGGGGAATGGGAGTGGGGGGCAGGGGAGGGAGGAGGCTGAATAATTGAACCATGTGCTCGCTGGGACGTCCCTCCGATAGCAGGAACTAGCGACTTTTCCCAGTCTCAAGGCTGCTAAAAGCCCCTCTCGCCCCTTTGATCTCTCTTGGGAGTCCGGGGATGCCAGCAGAGGCCAATGCCTTCTTCAGCTGTCCTCTGTACAGATCCCCCTGGCAGGTACTAATGTGTTTACTTAGGTGCGCAGCGTTCCCAGCACTGGGGGGAACCAAACGTTTCTCACACGGCTGGAAGCGCGCGGCCCTACCAGCCCAACTGCGAAACAGTTCCCCGGCGGGGCGGCGCGGAGGAGCCCTCGCCGCCAGCCACGGCGCCCACCGACCGCGGGAGGGGAGAGGCGAGGGGCGAGGGGCGAAGGCGGTACGGAACGGCTCGGCAGTGTCGGGCGTCCCGTTACATACAAGACGTCCCTCCCTGGGTAACGCTCCTGGGGCCGGTTGCCGCTCCGCACCGGAGGTCCGCTGGGAACCGCAACGTGCTTTGCAGAGGTGCGGGGTGCGCAAGGCTCGGGTGGGCCCCAAACACCTCTTGCCCCTCGGGAGGGTTTTCTTTGGTTAAATAGAAAATCCCGTTAAATAGATCATACGAACTGCGAATGCTCCCAACGTGGGATGGAATCCCTCCAGAAATAGGATTGCTGCGGTTGGGGTGAGGACTCCATTTCATAGAATGGTTTGGGTTGGAAGGGACCTTAAGGATCATCTAGTTCCAACCCCCCTGCCATAGAAAGGGACACCTTCCACTAGGCCAGGTTGCTCAAACCTCCGTCCAACCTGGTCTTAAACACTGCCAGGGATGGGGCAGCCGCAGCTTCTTAAAGGGGTCGTGACACGTTCACCATTTTCTCTGTGTCCGTCCACAGGGGCAGACAGTGTCTGAGGGTCTGGCGGTTCCCGCTTTCCGGACTTGAGCCGCTATTCTCCCCCACCCCCCAGCAGCCTCATTAGCCAGCCTTGTAGTTTGTGTTTTCTCTCCCCCGTCTTTAGTTCCACTCCCCTATTGCACTTCTGCAAACTTGAGATCACTTTACCAGAGGAGCCGGTGGCTCTTAAGGGATACTAATTACAGATTTTTTTCTTCCCGAGTGACAGGCTCTTCCATCCTTTCTTCCCTTTCCCCCCAAATATTAAAGGAAAAAGGGAAACAAAGTTTCCTAGCTCCTCAAAGACTTCTGGGGAAAGGTAAGCTTCTTAACGATCCCACTCCGGCTCTGCAGGCCGGGAGATGGGACCGATGGGGTATCCACCAGGAGACCTACTGTGCGTGCCTGGAGAGAAACCCCTCCTTGGAAGGTGATCATAGCTGTGGCCAGCACTTGAAAGATCAAGTTTATTTGTGGACAAAGAATAAATCTGTAAATAGGGTTTATTTTAGCCAGCGCAAACGGGGTAAATCACAGTATGTGTGTGTCCGTGTGCTCGCCACAGCTCAGTGAAGAATTCAAGTTACTGCCGAGCAGAGCCCCTTTCTAACTGACGGTGTCTTAAGAAAACAATAGGGAACTGCCCTGTTTCAGATGCGGCACAACTGAACAGCAACCTGCTCCTCGGGGTGGCAGAAGCCTGGAATTCTGAGCTTTCCCCTTTCTGTAACTTTACTCCTTTATCAACTCCCTATACTTTTCCTACAGTATTCATTTCAAAGGGGGCTCTCCCCGGCCCGTTTATGGCCCCAAATAAACCGAAGCAGCGCAAATGTAGCCTTCCCCAAGCTTTCAATAATTATACATCCGATAGTTGGAAGAAGGAGGGGTGTGTGCATGGGGATTTTCTTTAAGGAAAATCATTTAGCCTAAAAGTGGAAATCCGCCTTTTGGGGGTTCGGGGCTAGGGGGGAGGAGATGAGGTCTCCCCAGCAGCAGGCGCGGGTGGGGGGGGTCGGATG